ATAAACACTGTTTTTTAAATGAACATTGTTTGTTTTTTATTCAATTTTTTTTTCAATCAAAAATAATACGTACATTCTTAACTCCAACTTACAAAAAACTAGTCGCATCGTCTTCATTTTGTTCCAGTTTTGCTAATGATAACTTGGACACCAATCATTAATAGGACGGACAAATTTTTGTCCGTCCGTTTAAAAATTGTCCATTTCCGTCCGTTTGATATATTTCGTCCGTCCGTCCTAAATCCCAAACGGATGGACAAAATAAAATTGTCCGTCCTGTAATTCTAAACGGACGGACAAAATGAAATTGTCCGTCCTTGAATTCTAAACGGACGGACAAAATGAAATTGTCCGTCCTGGAATTCTAAACGGACGGACAAAATAAAATTGTCCGTCCTGAAATTCTATACGGACGGACAAAATGAAATTTTCCGTCCTTGAATTCTAAACGGACGGACAAAATGAAATTGTGCGTCCTTGAATTCGAAACGGACGGACAAAATGAAATTGTCCGTCCGAAAAAAAATCAACAAAATCCGTCCTATATAACCTTTAAACATGTCGGTGTGAACACGAAAAAATATGAAATGAAGAAGAATTTTTTATTTAGCATGTACACAGCGCCCTCATGCGGTATTTATTCTGATGCAGTAATGCCAACTTTCTGCATAGAAAACTATAGATCCCCAAAAGGGTGCGCTGTTTTTTTAGAGAGCCCAATAGAGTCGCTCTACGCGTATACATGCAGGTTAGTGAAGCCATAGCCAGCTCTCCTGTAATGCAAATGTCAATCTGAGGACGGATTTCGATGTGTCTCAACAACAGCTTTAACTTGGGCATATCGGGAACGGAATCTCTGGGGGTCAAAAAAACCAACGGACACACGGACGCACATCCAAATCAATACCTTCATAGAAAAACATGGTCAAACTGCCAATGCCCATAACTTTTTTGTTTTTGGACCATTCGGGGCGCATAGCGACTGGCATTGGAAAGGTGGAGCTTCTCTTGAACACCTCAGACCACCCCCGGGTACCCCCTTCGTGGGATATGGTTATAGATTTGAAAATTTATCGAAATTTTGCAACCACTATATTTTTGACTAGACCATACTTTTGGCATAGTGGGTATGGTGTTTTCGACTATTCGGGCCAAGTCCTTTCCAACGGTACCTAACATGCCGTGGCTCGAATAGTGTCCTGAGAAAATAGCATACTTACTGTATACATAGTCGTGACGCAAAAACTGGCATTTTTGACATTTGGCTTGAAATGCACAGTCTATGGTGCGTCACTTGTCGGACTACTGTCCTCCGTGATATGAGGTTTTGTTTAATGAAAACGATGACAATTGTTCGCATTTCTCAAACTATTCATTCGCGGCGAAAGATGATTGTTATGAATCTGTGTCATGATATGTTGAACGTTATAACATTTGTTTTGTTTTTGTACCGATGTTTCTCTTTACATTTTTATGTGGTTGATATAAACATAATTTTTCCATTAGTTTTGAACACTTTTTTTTCTCAAGTTATAGGCTATGCATTTATTTGTACACAAGACGTTTAGTTGTGCATCTATGCAATTCCATCACTTATTATTATCGCTCCTCGTACAAAATGACGTTCAGAGCCTATATAAAATCGAAGCTAGCCTCAGAACAAAGCGATTGAGTCGTTATTTGTCAACAATAATTCAGTTGTGGCCGATATTTCCAGCATGGTGCTGGCCAAAATGAATGTATGGACTGTTGACGTCGTTTGACACACCATGCGGCATATCTAGCCAGAATCACGTCCAAATCGACAGAAATGTCACTGATTTGCTTTGTTCTGAATCCATCTTCGATTTTGTATAGGCACTCTGACCGCTTTTCAGGTAGAACCGACAGAAAAAAGGCCAAGATTTCGAATATTTTCCGCGCTGGTAGTTCACTCAATTCGCTCCCACTTTTTGGCCGGTTCTCTTTTGAAACCACACAGGGTGCCTATATAAAATCGAAGCTAGCCTCAGAACTAGGCTAGATATGCCGGAATCAAGTCCAAATCGAAAAAAAGTCACTAAATCGCTTTGTTTTGCTAGCTTTTATTTCAGATAGGCTTTTCATTTCTTTTTAAGGAAAACTGGTACATAATAATATGAAAACAAATCGATCATTGGCCAAAATGGATGTAAAATCCAGCATTTAAATATAGAGTGCGTCAGATAATGTTTGCAATTTATCCTCATTATTTTGTTCCTTTTTTAAATCATTTTAAAATAGAGTAATTCAAATTCATCCATCATATATCGTTATAGATCACAATAAGCAATTTGAACGTTTTGAACGTTTCGAACGTTCAGTACTGTCAAAATGTAATGATTTTGACAGTTCATCTGTCATGACACAACCAAGCAAAGAAAATTTAACAATCATCGTTGGTGGTGTTCCGAATTTCCCCACTTTCCAAATTCACCCGAATTTAATTACAGTAATAATATGAAAAGTAATAAGTAATAAGTTACTTATTACTTTATTTCTATACCATATGGTGGAACGATTCGCCCCCAAAAAATGGTGGTCGGAAAATGGGCCATAAAATTTTCCGAGCAGGTCGCACACCATGAGTGTTTTAAATCAAAAGTTGCGCATTTACAATACCTATCAATTGACATATTAGGTTGTTCAAAATGTTTAACTGGGACGGAGATATTTGGATTTGAAAAACAAGGAACGATTCGCCCCAACTTCCCCTATGTTTGACATTGTAGGCGTTCACTTTCATTATGTTAATGACAGTTTCACATCTCTCCCATGTATTCATATACGAACAAACGATCTTGAAAATACCCTTAATTTCAGACATTGATCAAATATGCGTGAATCATAAGTGAGTGGTCGCACAAACGTCGCAGTGACTACTAACTGGCAAAGACTAACTGAAGCAACCGCGTGCATTTACATGAAATTCTATGATGACTCAGAGTCGAGAGATCCAAAATTTCTTTTGTTCTTCGCAGAGCGTGTTATGAACTTATGTCAGCACCATAAACTGACGTTATATATTAAGCTCAGCTACTGACACGTATGGACACTACTGTATTCTCTTTCTGTCGCATTCATACTATGACTACTTCTCAATTAGATTTCAGTTGCCGCAAACTTATTTTTTCGATTTTTTCAATTTTTTCAATTTTCTGCAAAAGTTACACTACGAATACTCGAAAATGTATGCCAATTACAGCCCTAGGAGATAGTTTTTCTAAGTTTCTATCGAAAACAACACTCCAAGCAAATGTTCATCCGATTCGGAGATGGTCGATCCAATTATGAGTCGATTTGGTATGGAATGATCGATATTTTTAGATCGTTAAAGACAAAAGATTTACTATTTAGAAATTGATGGAGCAACAACAGTAAATTTTGACTTCCAACAAAAAAAATTATATCAGTTAAATAACAAGAAAATGAATATGTCAGGGAAGTATTATAATGTGCCATCAAGATACTCGCAAATAGTGTTAAAGTGTTGAATTCCATCAATAAAGCAAACGCGCAACATTGAACATTGCGGTCAGACATTTAAAGCCCTTTGTGTTCAGAAAAAAACACATTAGTAAATTTATATGTTTTTGTTTAAGTAAATTTCAACCATTTCTTTATCTATAGATTCGATGCATGCTCAAAGTTATATTAAATTCAATAAATTCTATGAATAACATAACAATACAAATCTATATAAAATCGCGTCACGATACAAAATTCAATTGTATTTATTTACGTTTTGTTATTATGTGCTTGCTTATTAACTTCTAGCTCAGCTGTCTGAATCATTTACTAACGCATTCTAATTCCTGCTTCACCACTTCAATGATTGATATAGAAAAACAACAAATCAGACCTAATTTCGAAATAGTAAACATTTATTCATTTTCAAAGTACTTTAGTTGTAGGATAATATATGTTCAGGTTCCCGTTTCACATACATTCACAACATTCGAAGTGGCCATATATTCTCGAGTTCAATTTTTGTGAAAAAAATGTATTAATAACAGGGTGACTATCATGAATAAAATACATTGGCATGTTTGACTATGTATATCTAATTATCACTGCTCAATAAAAGTCGCATAAAAAAAATAACCACTACAGATATTTTAGAATAATGACACCCTGTGCAATAATGCATAAGTACACACATACACACATACATTTAGGTATATCTCATATGTAATTGTTGTGTATTGTTCAACAAAAACAACTTTGTTATATAGATTGATTTATTTACATGTAAGCATTGATATTGCGAAACATATGCTGTACATATATAAGTATACCAAGTTTAATGAAATTTTGTTACAGATAAAGGAAGAGAAGAGGCGAGATAGTCATACGAAATATCGAATTTTATTCATGTACATTGTACAGGCTGACCAGTATTCGTTCTAAATTGTTTTTTTTCCTCTAAGTGATGCTAATGACTTAAATAGAAAAATGCGTTAAAAATATTTATTTAAACAAGTATTATTGGAATTGATGACTATATATATAGGACAGATGGTCTCATCTTGAAACACCCTGTTCTAAGAAAAATAATAATTCATTCGTTATATACAAAAGTTGCTCGAACTCACGGTGACGTAGAAAATCGACACTCACACATCGAACATATGCGCGAGCTACAACCAAAACCGAACCAAAATAAAATGGTTTGGACGCGAATGTAAACACTGTAGGCTTACACTGATACCATAACACTAAAACTGGAAACTGGTCTAATCAAAACATTTTGATTTCATGAAAATGTGCATGTTGAATATTGTTTTGAATCAAAAACTTAGCATCATACAAACTCTGGTCGTTCAATCACCTAATACAGGTATTGTAGTTTGTGTGAGATTAGACGTAAAAATGTATTGATGCTGCGTAATTAATTTTAAAAAATGTACATCACTTTTATTTAGCTGTAGCCACATATGGTGTTGTGTGAAGAACGTTGTGTGCGTGTATGTATGTGCACGGAGTGGGAACAAGCATTGAAAACAGCTGACTTCATTCGTCTGTTGTTTTGCCTTGTGCTTTCGGGTTATTTTTGTGTACATGTATCGACCAGTCAGTTGAAATACAGCTGTTGAAGAGAATAGAATCGTAGAATGTGAATATATACAAAAAGTTGTAAATGTAACCAATTTGAAAACAATAAGAGAGCTAAAGTGTTGTGTACTGTATTTATTGTGTATTTTTATATTCCGAAAAATAAAAGTTTTATACCGAAATTCACAAAATTTTCGTCGCAAATTTAGTGAGTATTGTCGTAAAAAACCATCTTTTCGCAAAAAAGGGACATATTTTATATGAAAGTATTCCGAAATAGTGTACAAATTGAAACAAAAGATCTAGTAGTAGATATGAATTTAATAAAGTTTTTTTTTTGAATATTTTGCTAGCTGATTCAATTTTTTTAAATATTTCTGATTATTTTCAATTCTCAAGTATTCAAATATGTGCAGAATATTAATTTTTTTTAGTTCGTTTTGCATTTTTCAATAGATGGAACACTCGTAATTCGTGCCAATATCTACGTCCCAATACATTTTGGCCCTTTGAAATTTTAGTATTGATTAAAATAACGACGTGATTTTCTGTTGCAAGTGATGGATTCAATCAATTCAATCTCCACTATATACATTGGACCTTCAAACGATCTTTAAATATATCATTGTAAATTACAGAAATTGAAAACGTTTGCGAAAAATGTTTCATAGCAAACAAAAATCATATGTCTCTTGTATCACTAGCTAGAAATAAACAAAACGAAACACAAACAAAAACAAAAACGAAACCAAAATCACATAGTAAATATAGAAAGCTGTTTGGTGTGCACATGTTTCAAAGTCAATTCATACGCAAACAATATTTAAAAAGATTGTTAGTAATTGACGCTTACTATCCATACACAGCGCTTTTCTAAATTACAATATTTGCTGTGTTCTTAAAATTGGACGCGACATTAAGTGTTATCTCTTTGGGTTCTTAATTGTATTTCAGCACAAACTATTAGTGCTAAGATAATGATTTTCAAATTGTAGAATTGTTTTGATATTTTCCAAGAATACTTCTATTGCAAATGTATATCGCTGTACTTTTTTAAAGGAATTCTTCAGAATGATTTAGGCGCATCTCATATAATTACATGGCAGCCCTTATATGATCTAAGAGCAATGCCATTTTAATAAGACAATTGCAACATCCTATTTAGTTATGAATCTGAACGCCCATTTGCAATGTATGTAGCCAATTTCCCATTTCAGAACAGAACCGAATATTGTTATTGAACTTTGAATCGAAATTTAAACCAAAAAAGAGTAAAAAGTCTCGCAATCACCTTTACAGAATTTATATGATTTTCGACATTTTACGGATTCTGTAGAACCAATACAGCGTCTGATCTGTGTAAATTATCTATCAATCATATGACAGATCTTATACAATCGACCTGTATTAGTTGTACAGAATCCGTAAAATTTCATAAAGTTCTAAGTTCAGTTTAAGTCAAACAAATCTTTATAACATTCCTGGAATTATGTTCTCCAAGAACAAATTGTGATGTATTTTTTTAAAATAAAATATCAGTTTAAAAATAACAGAAAGCATATGCCAAAACGGCATTAATTCTTAGTGTGCGTGAATTGTCCAAAGTCGTAACGTAACCACACTTAGCGTAAACGCAGTACGCAGCTGTATTACCAGCGAGTAACATTGGGCAATACCGCTCAAAAGTCACGCACACATGGAAGACAGTTTCTCGTTCGCACGATTCGTATACAAGTGCTTGTCTTCATACAAGTCAGTTTTTAGTCATATGAAATTTAAAGCAGTTATTTTTTTATTTTGAATTCCAGACAAGATATCTCTTAAACACCATGATCGATTTCATCCATATTTTGGGTGTAGGTTTTTTAGTACATCTGTGCATAGGGTATTCTTGGTAGGTGATTGTAGACTACGTATTTAGGCTGAACGTCTCGATCAATTTTGTTTGATTGTCTTGTGTATCAACTCGAATTCTATATTAAATGTAGTGGTATGAAAGTTAGTTTGCATAACAAATTGAAATGCAATAATAAAATAAATCAACATACAGAACTCGTAAAGTTAGCAATTTGGGCTCCAAGCTCAATTACCCACTCAATTGCTTTCCATTGAAGAACATATTTATTTCAATATCCTTAATTTAAAAAATACAAATCCCAGTGTCACGCAGGGCAAATCCCTTATTGATTATCCGCCGATATCCCAACATCCTGCTCTTTAAATGATCTCATCATCATCATCAGAAAAGCATTTTCCCAAATATTCAGTTTTCGGGATTTGAAAATCCCCGCATGACACCATGTTTCTATTATTTTATTTTATTGACATCGCCAAGGATTGGCTGAATATTTCAGTTTTGCAGAAAAAATGAATCCGATAGGATTTATCGAAAACCTGATCTTTTAAATGTACAAATTAGGGAAATTTAGGTTTTACATAAGTTTTGGTTCTTGAATAATTAGAAAGAAAAACCTGATCAACAAATGGCCAAATAAGAATATGTTTATGGAAGTTGAATTATTGACGTTCTAAAAAAGCCTAGCCCGAATGTGTACTAGTAAAAATAGATAGACTAACGGTTAGTAGTCACTAACCGGAGTGTTAAACATTGTAATGTCAACTTTAATGACTGCAAAAGTCATCGTTCAATTTATCAAGAGAAGTTTTACTGGTTAGATATAGAAAATAATTAAATCTTTTTTTTCTCTTTTTGTTGTTTTTAGATCGAAAAAATTGTAAAAGATCCCAGACAAATCCATAGTCGCCAATAATATATATAAGCGTATAGTCGCGATCGTGAATGTGTAAAAAAGAAAGTATCCTATTTTTATAAAGGGAAGCAATTCTATATTACAACGAAAAAGAGAACAACGACAAAAAGTAACAATTCCAAAATCATGTCCCATATCGGGAATAATGTTAAAATTTAATACAATTATATAAATTCGTACTGCACCATACGACTGCATCATTAACACAAATTGGATTACACTCAGTTTAAGAACAACATCGAATTTTTACACTCCAAGTAAAACTGAATCACGTTCTTCAAGTTTGGGAGACCAACAATCTATACAAATATGGTCCCTCAACAATCTCAAGACGGAAACGGAGGTACGACAATATCACAAACAGAAACTGATCCCAAGGAGAGTGAATCGATGTCGGTTGACGATTATGAAGGAAAATTGACAGTCTTCGGGTCGCAACAAGTGAAAGAAACGTCAAATACGCCATACACAGATGCAACTCAGGTCAGTAATATTTGGTTACTAGCTTTGTTATTTGGTCCGAAGTCGGGTTATTGCCACCTTCAAGCAAACACTCCCCCCTCCGCTTATACTCTTACTCTATTAATAGAGAGAATTCTTCACCTTTAGTCATTATTATCAAAACTTACGGTATTATTTAATCTTAAAAATTATTCAAAAGTTTAAGATGCAAAATTGTTCCTGCAGAGAATAGTTTAAATCAATTCTCAATCCAAACGTCGAAGCTTTGTCGAAAATTTTTAAAACAAAAAACAAAAAATGAATCTGGCGTTATATATTACCATCAGTCACAACGCAAAAGCCGATGTAAATAACCTGTATGAATTAGCGTCTCATTTACTATTTTGCGAGCTCCATGAAAAGATAATGGAAAGGATAATAAACCCAAAAGGTGTTTCTGCAAACGCATGCGTATTCGTGTTTCCGTTGCTGTCTATAGTCAGCAAAAAACTGCACTTTGATGAAAGAAGCAACAACACAGATCCATTCGTTTATAAACACACGTACACGGATAGAAAAGAAATAAGGAGAGAGACAGAAAGATGTGAATTCAAAACAAATAGCAGAGATCTACGAGATGCACACTTTTTAACATGCTTATAAATGTGCAAAAATCTTCTACTTATTTGAAAATTGTGTAGATTTTGCTTGATAAATTGATATCATGGAGTTTCTGAGCTATTTGTTAGGTTCCTATTTGCCCTAAGATCACTAATCACTGAACTGATGCCTTGATCATAAAAACCCATAACAAATGTTTTTAAAAAAGGTCATAAATTTATCGAACAATAACCTGAACTAAGGATTCTTCTTCATTAATGCATGAACTCAGACAAGCAGACACATATACCATGTGCTCGACCACATAAGCAAAGTATATGTGGAGAAGGATCTATGTACCACTTTATCCAATGATGATTGACGAATTACTAAGAGGAAGATAGCGTATATGCACAGATCTTATAGATATATTGTTTGTTATACCAAAACAGTCCACATTTGCATATACTTTTTGAGCCTTTCAGGGTCCTGAGCAGCGTACTCAGCATAAGTTATTAAACAGCATCAATAACAGTGAAAGTGGAATGGTTTGTCCTTAAAAACTCATATCGTAGGCTAGATAAGTAAGAGCATAATACTAATTCAACAATGGGACAACACTTTTTGTTTGCAAAGGTGATGATTATTATACGCACTATTTGTTGGTCAACATTGATTCATCTCTATGTGTCATGATGTTGGCTTGCCATTGAATCGAATATGGTTATAAAGAGATAAAGAGAGAACAAGCATGTCTTTGGCTAAGCGAAATTTTTTTCTTCATATAAATATATATAAGTATATATGCATGTGTATGGATGAATATATAGATTATATATGGTAGTGCGACGCCCTGTAATAACATCAACAGAAAAGAACGAAAGCGTCTGTACAAGATCAATGGCCGGCTGCAAGGATAAATACGAAAACAAGCCGAAACATCGACAAACGTTGAGTATCCAAATGATGAAAGGAAAAAAAGCAAAACGAACCAGAGAACCAACGATGTTGGAATGAAAAAGACGTAATTCTTTTTCTCAGTATGAGAGAGAATACATGTACAATGCTTATAGAGTATATGAAAATACAATAAAAAGGCTGACTAACACATGAACCACATCCACCGAGCAAGAACAAACGAACAAGCAACGAATGAAACAAATCGTCTTCTTCAGCAACAGTATTTGTCTGTGAAATGCCACAATATTATAGAAATAGGTATATTTATAGTCAGGGTAAATGCTCTATTCACTGAACACACACACATAAATATATATAAATATATAAGTATAATCACTGTAGTACACCAACACAGAATTAAAATTGTCTGGCTAAACGTAAACCAACTTCGCGTCTATTTTGTTGATTTTTTTTACTTCAAGTTTAATCTCGAAAAGTCGAATTTGCAAGTTGAAAATATTGTTGAATTAGAGTCAATGACACAAATTTTACGCACAAATATTGGTGCTATTGAAGGTGTCGTGGTGAAATTGGAAATTGAAAATTCATTATAAACTAATCCATGACACATTTAAAACAACATATGCTGACATTCCTTCAATAGTCAGAAGATGCTGATATCGGAAATGTTTGCAAAGACGAGAAAAATTCCGTTCTCTGAAATTTCAAGGTGATCAACCTCGGCATTCTATAAACAGACCGAACAAATGGGAAAATAATATTGATTACATTCACATTCGACTACGAATGTGTTGTTTGCTCATGGAATTATATCGACAAGACTAAATATCGAAGAAAACTTCAATCCAGACTTTGCTGTTCACATCAGCCACCAGCGTCATCGACATCATTATCATATTCTACGTTTTGAAGATCTTTGATTTCATGTAATTGTTAAAAAAAATGTTAAAAACATTATTTCAATTACTTAAATAGCAAAATCTACTTCCTCATTGCTATTATTAAGAAATCTTTGGAACCGAGCAATTTTCTATGGAAATATTTTATTCAATTACTTTTCAAAATTATTCGAGTTCAACTGTTTTTTGATCGTTGGCAAATTCTATATTTGTTATATTCAATGCTAGACGCATTGTGCGTCAGGCAGATTTTCATTGTATCAAATGAGGAAGTTTGCAATATTGGCATTTTATAGTAATGTATTGTTAAGGCAGTTTCTATAGCACTAAAAACCTCGCTCTATTTTTCTTTCAAATACCTCTAAATGTTTTCTAGTGTAAAATTTTCAAGATATTAGAAGAAAGACACCCATGAAAAAATGATGTACACAAATTTTGAAGCCAGCCATAGTTGTGACATATTTTTGAGCATGTTGCTTCTTCTATAAAATCAGGTCTTGAAAATACCCCCGAACTTTGAATCCCATCATTTAAAATGCACCATAAAGTTTGCATATTTATTTAAACGGGCTGCAGAGAACTAATCGCAGTAATTTAACAAAGTAGCCATTGAAACATTTGATCGTATTGGATTGTGATTATTATAGTTGTTCTTTTCTAGGATATAGTTTATCCAAATAAATAAGCCCTTGTTTGAGTAAATGGAGTCACTAGTGGGGTCAATACCTAAGGTATAAAACCTTCACAAAAAAGACAGTCAATAATCGAGAATGTTTGTTGTTCAATGATCAATAAATAAATATAAATGGATATACCGCCGAACAAATGTGTAAAATTTGCAAAAAATCATGCCTATGAATAGTGAATAAGCATCTTAATGTTTTATTCATTCAATAATATATGAAATAGTTCCCATCACATATACTGAAATTCAATAATTTGTCATTTTATTCGTTTAAAAGTTTGTGAACTTTCAAAAAAGGATGACATTTTATTGAATTCGTATTTTCAAAATTACACATTTTTCGACAAGAACTACAACGAAATATTTCCCAAGACGAAAGATGAAAAATTAGAATAATTTTCTATTTGAAATGAAAGGAAAAAAATAAGACGTAAAAACAAATACGCATCAACTTTCGAAATCATAATTTCCATGCAGAATGCCAATATAACGCTAACAAATGTAAACATGTGTTTATAAAGCAACAACGCATCAGGCTAAATGCAACAGAAACGCAGAAGAATAAGAAAAACAAAGAAAGAAAATAGAGATACATAGCAAATACGAATATAATGTTAGTGCTGTTTTACATTACGAACAGACTATTTATATACACTCAACATGTATTAGTTTGCACAACGTAAATGTGTATTCAAGTATCCCTGTATGCGTGTATGCGTGTATAATAACAGTGACAATCAACACATTTCAAACGATAATATTTCACTGCGCATTTTGTGAAAAATGAATCGTTTTGGCATTGGATTTGGTCGTATATTAAACGAATGCAATCCTTTAGTTTCCGCAATTAATACTGACAATTTCTCGTAACGGGAAGCGACAGCTGTCCCCTAAAAATGTAGTTCGTTTTGAATATATATTTACGAAAAAATATCAACACATTTGCGTTTCTCTGTCACCATTCGACTTTAGTTATACTTTACGTGACTTTAAACAAAATGAATCACATTTAAAGCTGTCGGTATGTCTCTTTGAGAAATCCCGTCATTGAAACCAACTAATCTGAATCAGTGGCGTAACTAGGAATTTGTTTGGGGGGGTTCGATTTTTCACAAGTATTAGAAAAAATGCAGGGACGATTTCCTGTGGATATTCAAAGTGGTGATTTTTAAGATCTATTAACAATCAACTTAGAGCATAGAGAACATATTCTTTATTTTGGATTTCCAGCCGAAGTCTTCAAAAGAGTTTATCATCCCATGTGAAAACAAGCTGCTTTACATTCGTAAGGTCAACTTTTCTACACTCCCACACATATAATTCCAAATTTAAATTAGATTCGTATTTCAATCAGACCTTAATGACAGGGTTATCTCAATATTCCATTTTCTATACATTGTAAAATAGCAAAAATTTTACCGTGTTTTTTGCGTACAGTGAACAGTACAGCGTATAGTGTACCATGCACCTACCCTACGACCCATAAATAATACTAGATTTTACGATTTACGGCGTTCAAAAATCGAAAAAGAACTGATTGTTAATAGGTCAACAATTTAAGGCGATAGCAATTCTCATTTTTTGCGTACAGCGTACAATGTACCACGCACCTACCCTACGACCCTAAAATTATGCTAGATTTCGCGATTTTCAAAGCTCGAAAATCGAAAAAAAAAACTGATTTTAAGGGGGTAAAAAAAATAGAGGCGATCCCAATACTTTTCTTACACGACATGGTCGTGTGGAAAAGTAATATATTGACATACTGCTTAAATCGGTTGAAACTTGAAAGTGATTGAATTCACAGATAGTTGAATTCACTTTTGGAATCTTGTATTTATTTATTTATTTATTACAGAGCCTACATTTATGCCAATATGTGTTCCCAGCAAGCTGAGAACATGCTGGTCAGAGACCCAATACGGCATAAATTCCGCCCATGGTGCGTCTTTTGCAAAGAGAATACATTCAGGGGAGGGATGATATAAAAGTGAGGCTTTCATACCAGAATTGGGTCCGGAAAACCATGGTAAAACCGGCCTGATTCTGGAAAACCAGGGGAAATACAATGATGTTGAGTTTTTGCAATTAAAGTACGTTAACATCAATGAGAAAAATCAAATGAAAAGTCAAACTTAATCTAAATTGGATAAGAAATTTCATAACAATGGTCCGAGTATTTTACTATTTGAAAAATATCTAAAAAATTTACTGCGTGGAACGTAACAGATGCTTTAGGTTATTTTTAAACGCGACAAGAGATTTAGAATAGTCGGTTGAAGATAAACTACCAAATCAGATATTAAGACTAATGTTGTTTTATTTTATTATAATTCACAGACGAAGAAACACAGCCCAGGCCATGTGAAACGTCCGATGAATCCATTCATGGTTTGGAGTCAAATTGAGCGTCGAAAAATTTGTCAAAAAACACCGGATATGCACAATGCTGTCATTTCTAAATATTTGGGGTCAAAATGGAAATCATTGTCAGCTAATGAAAAGCAGCCTTTCATAGAAGAAGCCGAACGATTGCGCCAATTCCATTCAAAAGAATATCCAGACTATAAATACCGTCCAAAAAAGAAGCAACAGAAGGGCTCAAAGGCAACTGGATCACAAGCAACGACTGCCTTGGCATCGAGTTTCAAGAAAAATTCGACGTCATCTTTGACTTTTTCAAGCTCATCATCTTCAAATACCAGCATAGAGAGTAATATTATTGGTCGTAAACCGCTTCACAAGTTTAATGGAACTGGTAACCGTGTATCCAGGAAGAAAAATATCACTACGTCAACTGCCACCACAGAATCAAACAAAATAACTCAGTTGCAACCCGTTTCTCTAAGTAATGATTCAATCAATTTTGGCAATAGCAAAATGCATTGCATGCTTGGTTATGATTTAATCCCAAACTCACCCGAAAGCGCCACATTGTACGACGAGAATTCATTGATTTCAACCAGGCCAGATTCGTTGGAAAATATTCTTTTTGAACCTAATAAAAAAATCGGAATCATAGACGAAACATACTGTGTAATGAATGAGCTAGACTGTTTTGGGAATGAAGAAAATCGTAATCTTCAAATCGGTATTGATGACATGTATCCACAAATTACCGATATTGATGAAAGTAAAATCATTAAAACTACGTTTATCGATGATTCTAAATTATCAGATGCGTACGACATGGAAAATATACATGAAATTCTGAGTGTTGATGCCAATTTAAATTCCGCCAGTCGTTCATATTTGAAAAGCAATACGAGTATGAATATGACAGCAGGCAGCAATTATTACAACATTTGTGGTAATACCAGCCAACTAGCTACAAATGCCAAGACAACAAACAACATAAGCAACAAGCCATTTACCACAATCGATCCAAATCAGATTTTTGTAAAAATGCCAATGCCTAACGCAGTGAATGAAAATATATATAACAGTCGCCGATGCAGTACCATGAGCGCTCCCATTGGTATTAACTTCTTGCAAGATGAGTATGCTACTGTCATTACCAATGACTTTGATATGGGCTTTGACTTGAACAGCTACGATATTGATGAAACTAACAATGAGTCATCCAATTCAGGTAGTCACCTTGCATTCTCTTGCACTGATCCGAATATTTTGTCTGATATTCCTAGTCGTTATTTGACTGCACTAAACAACATCCAAAATGAGACTATTTAAATTATGACAAAGTAGAAATTATCCATCTCAATCGACAAATATCAAAATTGTGGATAACATGTCACGGCGGAAAATATATGTCAAATTCATTTCATTTTATTCTACTGAATTTGTTATCCATGAATAGTACGGGAAAATACGCAGAATGAATATAAACAATGGAAGATACATGCATTGGCGCAAGTGGAAGTTTTTTTAAATTACACTACTCTACAAATTTCGGGAAAAAAATGTCCCCCAAGACGAGGAGAATTTTTGAGATGAATCCGAATCTGCCGTTAGTTTTGGTCTAGCAGCTCTAGTTTTCGAGATATGGCACAAAAACCATGAGAATTAGTCTCCTCATCGTGGGGGACATTTTTTTCGAAATTTGTAACGTAGTGTTATAAAGTATAAGTATTTTTTTCATATTACAAAAAAAATAACAGAAAAAGATGAAAAGTATGTGATAAAACTGTTAAACGATAACTGATGATAACGCATGTTTTGTAATACCTTTTTAATTGAACGAACCGGGATAAAAGAGTAAATGGGATGAAAATAATAAATATGGATTCGTGAATTTTTTTCTAACTCCGTTCTTCTGTAATGATTTATAATAATTGTAAGTCCTTTTATGAGGTGCTTTTTTATTCTGAGCAAAATGCGGAAATATAAACAAATCTTGTTTTTCCACTTCCGATAATAATCTCAAATCAAAGAGAAAATTTAGAAATCGTGTATTTTAATCAATTTTTTACTGTTTAATGTGAAGAAATTTTTCATTAGATTTAAACTTTTTTTTCAAATAGATATCATATATATATATAAATAATTGTAATTTTTACACTATAGAAAAGTCGAATTTGTCGTCAAATGCTGCCACATCGTTAATATATTGTTTGTGTGATAAAAGCTGGCTTCAGTTGCAACCACATTTGTTTCATCCATTTACACAAGTAAAACAAAAGTAATAAAAATGGCTGAGAATGCAGTTTCCTATTAATTATAAACATAAAACAAAATTGTTTACTAATTTTTGTGATTTTAAAAAGAAGAAGTCGGATGTTTATGCACACAAAGCACACAGAAAATACAATTCCAACAATTATGTGATCAAGTCATTTACGATTAAACGAGCCTTTTTGAGAATAAATATGAACAGGTGAAATGAACATAAAACTGATCTCGCGAAAAAAACACGTGATTTTATACATACATATAGCAACGATATTGTTTTCTTCTTTGTAAAAAATTTAATAATTAATTTTGTAACGGAGGATTTAAGCCTTGTCTACAGTTTACCGAGAAGAATATTAATTGCAAAAAATTACAAATGAATTAATAACTTCTCTCTAAAAATTGCATCGTCGTTTTTATTTCGTTGAACCGTAAACTAGGCTTAGATCCCGAAATTAATTATTTACACGAAGATTAATGCCTATACGCTGAAATTTTTCTGAATAGAACACGTCTCATTATTCAATGCATTTTGAACAAATCTAACCGTTTGATAGAATCGATAAATTTTTATACTTTTTTACGTGTGTGTATCGTAAAATTACAAAAAAAAACACAAAAACAAAAACTAAAAAAGAGAAATACTAGTAGAGAGTCAAGTATTCTATGTGACATTTTTTGCGTAATTCGTTAGGTAATTCGATGCGGAACATCATGATCTCATTTCCCTTGCCATTTGACATTTTATTTGATAAAATTGGCTTGAAGTGAATTCCCAAAATTCGGATTTTGCCCAAAAAATGTCACATGCTCAGATTTCATTCAAAAATATTTATATAAAACGTTTTATGAAATAAAAATAAAATTGAAAAGAAAACAACTTTGTGACTTTTACATTGCTTTTGACAAGAAAACAGATTTCACGTATAAAACGCTGAATTGAGCCAAAAATGGCATACAAATTGGTATATTTTTGATTGTTTGAGAAGAAATCATCTACTTTCGTAGGCCAAATACATGAAATCGGCAGGGGTTCACGAAATTTTATTTTCTTATCTGAAGTGGCGCTACATAGGCTATCTTTTAACGCAATAAAAACGACAAAAAATTTATACTTCGATTTGACTTTTTCCAAGGCTCCAATGGGGTCATAGGGGAAGGGATATTAGGCAGTTTTTGTAGCCTCATCGATTCCCTTTCCAACGGTACCAGTGGTTTGCCAACGTGTCAACTACTTCTTCGTAAGATTTGTTACTCGTTCAATTCGGAACAAATTGTACACTGGTATGTTACGCCGACAAATCTATGTTACGTTTTGATCCAGACGTGTGCAAGGGGGGGGGGGG